TCCGTCAAGGCAAGCGTGTAGCTGCACAAGATGGCAAGCAAAAAAAGAAAAGTGCATCGAGTAAAGGAAGTCATTTTACTATTAAGTTATATAAGTTGTCAAAGTTCTCTTTTTTCGAGTAGGGTGCTATAGGCACAGGTACAAGCGTTAATTTATAACTGTTTTTCCTATAAAGATCAGATGAAGGACACAAATAAAAGTAGAAGTTGTAACGAACACAAATTTGTGAATTATTCTTTGCATAGTTCGAATATCAAATATAGTAAAATCGTTTCCTGGGGGCGTTTGCTCATTGCCATTACTGTATTGTTCAAAAAAAAATTATTAATAGGAATCTTTGACTCCTGATATTTCGGAAATAAGATGCATCGGAAACGTTATGTCCAATCCCAAAAAAATGATAAACTTCAACAAACAAATAAATTACGTTCAGATAAATTTAGAATGGATAAGAGAGATCCATACTACAGTAATTTACTATCATTTTTTCGTCAACACAGAGAATGATGAAAGTCCTTGTAAGCCTCAATGCCTCGAATCACGAATCAAATTTTCCAACCGATTACGTAACAACAAACTGGTCGTCTCACTACGCCCACAGCGAACAATATCCTACAGCCTAATCCAAGAAGTTTATAGTTTATGCATGGTATAAATATAACTGCAAACGTTTTTTGATTTTTAAACAACGCATAGATGCTGTATAAAAACGGTAAAGTATACAATAATAATTTATTAAAAAAGAAACCAATTATATAACAAGTAGTACAAAAAAAAAAAAAAAAAAAAAAAGGAATGAACATTCTATTCAATATTCATATGATGATTTCATTTTTCATTTATACTTAAATAATTATTTTACAAATAATTTCCGCATACATATGCTGCATGTGCACCTCGAGCCAAGAAAAAGTTTCGCGTGCCTCAAGAAAAGCGGATGGCGCGGATAAAATATAATCCATTGGTGATTAAAATTAAAGAATTCTATTTTTAGTTTATGGAACGAGTCGCTCGAGGTATTACCCAGGTGCGCATAATATATCTTTCATATCACTAAATTCTAACTTATGACACGAAAGCTCTTGCAATGAAATCTGCACCCAAAATCCAAATATATTTTATGATTGGAGTGATAAAAAAAAATAAATCTAACCACCACTGATTAAACCCATATTTACTCCTAAAAATTGTATCCTTTTTTAATGTTGAGATTAGAATCCATTTATTTTTTTTTCCAAATTTCTCTTGCTTATTCCGTTATTTTACCACAACGCCCCTCTTACAATCATGGAAATCACAAACATCGGTACCACTCGTGCTATTGCAGAAATTATACATAACTTGTATCGCGTAATATCCTGGAGGTACCTTGGGACAAGCTGATATAGTGTATTGCAATGACTTGTTGCAGACTCGTGTGGGCGTGGTATCGGCGTTTTTAGCGATGGTCTGATTTACACAATTGAAATCGCTGCTAACCAGGTAGAATTGGAGATCTTTCACGAAACCACTTTGTTCACCAGTAAGCTAATTGATAGGAGATGAAAAAAGGAAATTGAGTATTAGAGAGACACGAATCAATAAATACCATCATGACAACAATATTCATAAGATTTGTTTACCTTGGTGATGTTATATTTAACCTCAAAATTTTCGTTTCTTTTGAGAACACTCCCCGATCCTGGGGAAACAAATGCAAACATTGCTGAATCACATTGAGTATCTTTGACGGGTTTATTACAAGGAAGCACGGTGGTAGTTGCCGTTACGGTCTTCGTGACCGTATTCGACACGGTCTTTGTGTCTGTTAAGGTTTCCTTGTCTGTTAAGGTTTTCATGTCTGTTACGGTTTTCGTGTCTGTTACGGTTTTTGTGACCGTATCCGACACGGTCTTTGTGTCTGTTAAGGTCTTCATGTCTGTTACAGTTTTCGTGTCCGATACGGTTTTCGTGTCCGATACGGTTTTAATGACTGTTTCTTTGCTGGTTACTGTTTCAGTCTTAGTCTTAACGCTGACCATAATATCGGTCTGAGTTTCCTCATCGATCTTGGTTATATCTTTCTCGCTAGTTACAATGTCAGTTTTAACATTATACTTGGTCAAAGTCTCAGTGCAGGTGACGGTTACCGGAGGGTATTTTATGGCGGAAGTTTCCGTCTTGGTAGTGGTCGCGGTTTCTTTTTTTGTGACGGTGCAAGTGTCAGTCTCTTTTTTTGTGACGGTGCAAGTGTCAGTCTCTTTTTTTGTGACGGTGCAAGTGTCAGTCTCTTTTTTTGTGACGGTGCAAGTGTCAGTCTCTTTCTTCGTGATGGTGTAAGTGTCAGTCTCTTTTTTCGTGATGGTGCAAGTGTCGGTCTCTTTTTTGGTGATGGTGCAAGTGTCAGTTGTTGTTTTTGTGGTGGTGCAAGTGTCAGTCGTTGTTTTTGTGATGGTACAAAAGTCGGTCACAGTCTTTGCTGGACATTTGTCGCAATCCCATCGTTTTTCGAGGAGAGCCGGTTTATAGACCGGTGAAACATCGTCGCCTGATGAGGAGGCAGGCATCGATTGCACTAGTGAACCGACGAGTATTAAGCATAGTGATGACACGAATATTAAATTTCTCGCGAGATACATATCAAATGAACCCGAGATGTGCTTATTTAGGTGCAATTGCGGAGGGAAGGTGAATTTTTTCTATCGATCAGTGTTCTTTTGTATTACTAGGTTGACGCAGCGAGTTATCGAAATTGTAAAAAGTTAGGTTTGTCTTCTCGAAACACCTTTTAAATCAAAAATGTAAAAAAAGGAAAGAAAATCTTTACCAATAGATTCAGTACAAAGTACTACACGTACTTGGTGTGTTCTTATAGCATTTTTTTCCCCTTAAATTATATACACCATAGGAGCCAAGTTACTTTGGATTCGGACAATGTTTCAATAAAGTTACGACTTACTTAATTGCATTCATTAGTATCAATATGTATTGGCTTAGATATTATGTACGCTTTGTATATTATGTACACTACGTATCAAATACGTAAAGTTGAAGCAAAATCATGACTCCAGTCATATATGGAAAGAAAATATAAATATTTTAAATACTATAGGGTAAAGAGAACAATTTAAACGTAAAAGAATATCTTTGTCCTATCAAGTCATCATCGCCCCGTAAAAAATGCCGTGACATTAAATTGTGAAACATCCTAACCATATCTAACTTCATTTGTTTCATTGTCGATAATCGTCCCTTCCGTTCGCCAAAATTCTCCGTGCAATTTATCTCGTGTCGATCAAGTCTATATTATTCGCCATACTGTATCTATCGAACGCTTGCACGACCTAATACTGTAC